ATTGATTTTAACTGTTATTTATCTTGCCATTCTTTTTTGTATGCCTCTCAGAGTCATTCCATCAGATGGGGAGGATATAAATTTAAGACACACGGACACACACACAGACATACAAACACAGACACACACACGGAGGGAGGGAGAGAGAGAGATACAGATGGAAGGCAGGAAATATGTCCCATGAATACTCTACAATTTGTTTTTGTTTTTTGTATTGAGAATTTATAGAAAATAAATCTTTTTTTTAAAAAAACCTGAATTCTACATCACTTCCTCCAAGGGCCAGCTAAACAATAAATCACTTTCTCTTTAATGCAACTACAACTAAAATTATGGTGTAGGCAAGTGTCAGTGTAAGATTGAAAGGTGGGGGGGGGATGACAACAAAATGGTACAAGGTATCCTATATGAGAAAGGTTCCAAGTTGTCATTTTCCACTAGAGGGCATTGTGTTATTTTTGAAGACATAATATTTCTGATGCCTGCCAGCCACAGGGGAGCCTACTCTGGCCTAGTTACATGCTAATCTCACCTGAATTGATCGTTTGGGTAACAGACCCATAGCATCCAAATCTGCAGCTCTCTCTCCAAGCAGCTTTATTCAATACGTCCAGTCCTCAAATGAAAGTTTCACATTATCTTCTTCTTCCCAAAACCCAGGGGCCTTTATAATGGACCTAGTTCTGGATTTTCTCTGTAAAACAACTACCTTTTCACTGTACCCACTATCCTGCTATTTAGAGTAGCTTTCTGAATTCCCACAAGGATGGCCTGTGTCCAAAGTTATAGTGCACAATGGCCTTAAAACTTAAAGGCTCTCAGTGCAGGATGAAAGACTAGACATAAGCACAGAATAGGCATCGTTCAGTTATAAAATAGCAAATAACTGTTCAGATCATCTCTGAAGGGCACTGTTAAATTGGGTACAACAAACAACACAGAAGATCACTAAGCAGTCTCCCTTCTGAAACTGTTGCACAGAATTAAGCATATAGTTCTGGGCTACAAAACACTGCCTTACCCTATATGGAAAATTATTCAGCCAAGTTCCAGTTCTCTTTGGTTTTCATGACAGCAAAGCCAAAGCAGAAGCGAGGCTGAGTCCTCTGCAATGTTTAACCTTTATCCCCATGTCCCTGGCTGCTCTTAGGATTGTTTCAATTAATTATTTCTTTTCCTTCTCAACTGGTTAAAAAAAACATTGTGCAAGCTTCAGTTCTGGAACATGAGCTGTTTGCCATTTGTCTGCGTTTTCCATTTATCTCCCCGTTTTCTAACAGGAAAAGTATCCTGTGCCATTGTTTGCCCTTCTCTATAAAGGCACAAGGGAACAGCACAGTCTCATTGGATTCCACAGTTTACTTCCAAACAAACATTGGGGATTTTGCATCTCGAAAGCCTCTGTGTTTCATTCCATATGGAAGTGCTTAGTGACAAGACTCCTGTGCCTAATATTGTGACTAACATTTGACTATTTTTACTTCTCTTTTCACCTCCTCTTCAATTAATTTCAAACGGGTCTTATTCATAAACTAGTTGATGGAATGTAAATTAAAAAGTGTGTGTGTGGGTGGGGGGGAAACCCTGCTGTCTAATATTATCTATCTCACCCCCATCCCAGAAAGACCTATGCGATTTTTCTAAGGGATGTTTTGTCTTATCCTTTGGGGACCATACCGCACAAGAACACAATAAGGCCGGTAACCCATTTTCTGCTCCGTTGAACGCCAGTAACGCCCGCTGCTTCCGGAACAGATGTACAGAGTAACGGTCGACCCGCTGAAGCCGCCAATACCTAAAATCTGATGCCTCCGGAGCCCAGAGACTGAGCTGGCGACGGGAAGGACGCATATGCTGGCAACCTGGCAGGCAAGCGCGAGCCCGCGCGCACCCCCGCCCTTTAATTGCCTTCCATTTTTTTCCTGGCTTTGTGTTGCGCTCCTCCGCCTTACGGCTTTCTTCCTAATACAAGCGAAGCGGTTTAGCCTCCTCTGCCCTCCAAAGCACCCCGGTGGGAGGATCGGCCTCCTCCTTTCCAAGCAGCGCACCTTTCGAGCGCTGAGCCCAGGAGAGCGCGGGCTTTTGAAGAACTGAAGCCCCCCTCACCATTGTTGCCTGTCGGGGCTTTTCAAAAGAAGAACCATTTATCTCGGCGGAATCGTGGCGTCTGCCTTTATCGCCGTCAGTTTCCAAAGGCAAAGGACCTTTGGCAAAAATAAATAAATAAATAAGGAGCCAAGGGCGCTTGGGGTTAATGGCACCGAGAGGAGGGCGCTCCCGGGGAGGGGGGGGGTGTTGGAGGAGGACCGGAGCCCACACCCCGCCTCCGCGCCAGGAGCTTTTCTCGACCCCCGTCTCCAGCCAGGAGCTGCTCATTTCCAAGGAAACAAAAAAGGAAGCGCGCGCGGGGCGCAAGGAGGATGAGGGAGGGAGAAGGGAGCGGGCAGGAGAATCGGACCCGGGAGGCGGCTGGCGGCGGGAAAGGAGTCAAGGCGAGCGCTTCTTTCTTCCCCTCCTCCGCAGCTGCCTTTCCGAAAAAGTCTTGGCACGCCGCGGTCATTTCGGAATGGACCGAGCTTGGAAGGCGAGGGGCTCCCAGGTCCCGCGCGTAGTCACCGGCTCGATCTGAGCGTCTCACCTTGGCTCCGAGCTCCACCGGAGCCTCGTCGGCGGACTTCTCTGACATCCTGGCAGCAGCGAGAATAAGGCGAGGCAGACGAGATGCAGCTTCGAAGCAGGGACCTGCCAGCTGCCGCCGCTCTGCTCCCAAGCGCCAGGAACAAAATCCTTCTCTCCCGCGACAAGGCAGTGCCAGAAAAAGGGCTCGGTGACGATAGAGCGGGGAGGGAGGGGCCTGCGGGGAGGGAGGGGAGAGATTAGAGGCAGAGGGGAAAGGAGCGAGTGGCAAGCGGGAAAGAACGGCTCGCGAAGCGGCAGCGCTGCGTTTTGCAAAACCAACGAAGATAGCTTTGCAAATAATTATCTATCGGACGGGTTAAAGGAGATTATGCCGTCCAGGGCTGCACCGAAAGCCATGAACCTGAGCTCGTGCCCTTGGGGACGCTGCGGTGTATGCTTTGTCCTCTGTTCCTTTGTTTGCCCTTTCTTTCGCCTGCACCGCCTACAGACGATCGCACACGCCCTTTGTACTAGCCGCGTTATTTATTCCAGATTAACCAAACGCCTATTTTTTGCTTTCCACCCAACGATCACGAATAAGCGCAGTTCTTTTTTCCCTCCTCCATTCTGTCTGCCATTCTTGATTGTGACAAAACATGCGACAGGATTGTGTCCCGGCAAGAACGCCGAGTTCCTATTGCAGTGGCAACATTTCCAGATATTGCCACTTTACAGCTGTGCGCTATATAATGTCACTCGGCAGCTCTCTGCATATGCTCAGAGAGGACTGGTGTTGCACAAGGATTGATTCTGCCAGTATCAAAACATTACATTCACATTTGCCAAAGCACCAGCGTTAAGTAATCTTGTATGTGTGCTTGGAGTGCTGTGAAGGCTTCATGACAGTCCACATGCGTGGATTCTTTACTTCTGCCATACTTGTCACCTGTCACACTGGATTAAAAATTTAAGTGCCAATCCTGCCTAATCGTTTGTATGCAACCAGAGATATAACCACTTTAAACTCATTTAAACTTGAGGACCCAGTTGTGGGGGCAATAAGCTGACTTTGTATAAATATACAAAAGGATGAAGGCTATTGCTGAGCACATTGTAAGCCGCCCTGAGTCTTCGGAGAAGGGCGGCATATAAATCAAATTAAAAAAAAAACAAAAACTAAGGAATAATCAAGTATAAAAATTAAATGACATCATAAATATTATCATAGTCTGAGTAACCACCTCTGGACTAGACAGTTGTCTTCAATGTTTCTGGAGACAAAGAAGCAAAGTTCCTACTCTTCTATTTGTCCATCAACAGACCCTAATCAGTCCACAATATCTAAGAAGAATGGATTTATTAAGTATTCAAAAGCCATATCATTCATTAATCATCATCAGCCCATAATTTCCAAATATCAGCTTTAGACAAATTAGAAAATAGCAGCCAAATCATAAAGGTCTATTTCACTATTTCTCAAGCTTGGCAGCTTGAAATGTGTGGACCAACTCCCAAAGCTGGCTGAGGAATTCTGGGAGTTGAAGTCCATTGCCAAGCTTGAGAAACACTGGTCTACTTGACAGCCATATTCCAAATGTGAAACATTCTCTTCCCTGAATCCTGTTTTAGTGCTTTTTCCTTAGTTTTAAATAATGCTTTGCTGTACAACTGTCCTATAAAACAGTGAAAATATAGCAACTAAATAACTAATAGGTTGGTATGGAATGAACTTGATTGAGGATGTTTGCCCCAATTCAATGCAGTATCTTTGTGGACTGCACACATCCCAAATAGGTGAAATATTTCTTGAAAAGGAAAAAGTTTGAGTTCGTAGAGAAAAATAGAAATTTGTAGAGATCTGAAATAGTCTTTTTCTCTCCATCCACTCTTTGTATTCTAGATGGACTGAAAAACATGAAAGTTAGCATTCCATCACATATCCTTTCCCCAAGCCTTTTAGGCTTATCTTTGGGACTGAGCCTTGATAATCTGGAGCATGTACTTTTGGCAAAGCATAATCAAATTCCGTCCCAGTTAACCAGCACATGGCTCTGTTTTCAATTTCAAGGCAATTTTTAAATTGTCTTCAAAGACAACTTTAAATGTAATTTATGTACAGTAGTTTATAATCTGGAAGTTACTAGGTACAGATAGGTGGAGCCAGGCTATTTCTATCCCAAAATGAACATGGTAAATGGCAACGTGCCATGTTTAGTTAATGGTGCTGAGCACCACTAGGTCTCCTCTACATTTATTGTTGCTTACCTAGTCCTTTGTATCTCTGACAAGGGATCAGGCAGCATTCTCTCTTTCTTGCCTCAAAATGCCTGAGGCCTTTTCCAGGAGCTAACAAGATGGAAACTTAATCACAGAAATATACTAGGAGTTGTTCAGTTTAATGAGTTCAAGTTTCGCAACTGTCTGAATTCAAATTCTTGTTTGTAGCATATTCCTTTACGAAGAGAAAGATAAAGCAAGATTCACCTTGCCATAACGGTTCCTGTTCTGGAGTCTTGCAATCCTAAGCACTTTTCTGGAACTATATTCCTTTGGTCAAAGTAAGTTTCATAACATGTGTAGGATTGCTTACCTAGGATTGCATTTCATCTGTTTTTACTTACAATGTATACGTGGCATACATCCATATAATACACAAACTCATACAAACATAAATATCCAAAGAAGTGGTATCTGCATACAATTTAGTTGTTTTCCATTTGTGCCAGTGAAAATTTTATGATTTGGCAGTCCTCCCCCAATTAATTAAAATTAAAGAAATGCTATCAGCCCTAAAAATTGCTCTTTTGCTGATAGAATAACTAAAATGGGATGAATCATGAGAACAGAGGAAAAGCAGAATATGAATGTTACATCCTAGAATTTCCAGGCCATAACCCGATCCTGACACTTTCTAGCAGACCTCACTTCAGCAGAAATAATTATTTTCCATTATCTTCCATAGCGAAACATATTAAAATCTATCTGCCATCCAGTTAATAACTGCCCTGCGTATACAGTTCAGGATATGATGTAATTCAATACTCAATCATGGCACTGCCACAACATTACACTAGTGAGGTCATACACCTGGCATGCAAGTGAAACTGTACCAACTCGGTGTTTGGAAACTGTTCTGGTATGGATAGGGAGGAATAGACTCCAGCTCAATCCTGCAAGACTGAATAGGTTTTTGTTTTCTCCCCTCCCCCAGTGGATTGGGGATGTTTTTACCACCAGACTTGGATGGCATTGCACTTCCTCATTTAGGGGATGCATAATTTGGGGCCCTCTTGCACAGCACTCAGTTACTGCTCAAGGTGCAGATGGCAGCTGTGGCAAAGGAAAAAAAATACCTTTGCAGAGATTCATCTTGTATGCCAGTTATGCTTTCTCAACCAGGAAGCCTTTCAGATGGGCACGCATGGCCTGGTCATCTTACAGTGGGACTATTGCAATGTGCTCTATATAGGCTACCGTCAAAGACCATATGGAAGTTACAGCTGGTGCAAAATGCAGTGGCACAAGCAGTAATGGATACTTCTCACTATGTCCATGTATCGTTGCTGCTATACGAGCTGCATTGGTTGCCAGTGGGGTTCAAGATGCTGGTTGTTACTGATAAAGTCATTTATGGCATAGGGCCTGGTTATCAGAGGGACCGTGTATTTCCAATTGTTTCTACCCATCCAGGTACATGTGGGCAGATTGGGTGCCCTCCAAATCCCTTATACTAAGGAAGTGTGCTTTCTCTGTTACTGCAATCTTCTGGAATGGTATCCCCACAGACAGTGGTGAAATCTAAAATGTTTTGCTACCGGTTCTGTGGGCGTGGCTTGGTGGTCATGTGACTGAGTGAGCGTGGCCAACTTGATGTCACCGTTAGAGCCAGGAGCTACACATTCTGAAGCACATTCTGCCCTTCTGAAGCCCCCAACACTTTGAGTTTCCCTCCACCATCTGGCTCGACTACTCAAGTGAACCTCGGAGCCTTCTCTTGTCCTGCTCTCCATCCTGGAGGGCTTACCCCACCCCGCCAATCCTCTGTACAAACCGCCTGCCCCGTTTCTGCAAAGGCAGAGCACCTCCCCCTGCAGAAAAGGCCACCTTCCCCCCTGCCTCCCATGCCAACTCCACAGGGCTTGGGGCTTTGAAACAGCCCACTGGATTCCCACCCGGCCACCTGCCTACTGGTGCCACTCCGGGAACTCGGCTGGCGCTCCTGGGGAAAGAGGCTCAGCCATGGCGGTGCTTCCCGACAGCGAAGAAGCGGAGCGAGAGGGGTGGAAGTCGCGGCTGGCCAGCGGGGCGGCAGCCCCCCGCATGGGGAGAGGGACAGGTCTGGCCACGTCACTGCAGAGCCCATGGTATTTTCCCTTTGGCCTGGGCACCGGCACTTACCTGGGCGGGCCAGCGCGGGTAGCCCTTCATCTTGGCGCTCCCTTGCCTGCCACCTCCGTGCGTTGCACGTGGAAGGGGCCACCACTCTCGCCACCCTCCCTCCCCGCCTGGCTGCAGATGTCCGCCTGCCCAAAGTAACCTCCCGAAGCAACCCCGCCGTTCGCTTTTGTTTTCCAGTAGGAGAAGGAAGAAAGCAAACTGTGGCAGCATGGCGGTGCTCCAGGAGAGCAGGTAGGCCCCAGGACATCCATGGCCATTCACTTTCTTCCTTCTCCCATCGGAAAACCACCAATGGTGAGAGCAGCGGTTATGGCCCCTTCCACATGCAGTGCACGGAGGCAGCGGGCAAGGGAGCACCAAGATGAAAGGCTACCCATGCTGTCCCGCCCAGGTAAGCACTGCTGCCCAGGCCGAAGGCAAAGTGGCGCTGGCTCTGCAGTGGTGCGGCCAGGCCTGGCCCTCTCAGCGGCTTCCACCACACTCACTACACTTCTTCGCTGCTGGGAAGCGGCACCATGGCTGAGCTTCCTTCCCCCGGAGTGCCGGACTTCGCGGGCTGAGTTCCCGGAGTGGCGCCGGCTGGCAGGTGGCCAGGTGGGAATCTAGTGGGCTGCTTTGAAGCCTCAAGCCCCGCAGACCCGGCACGGGAGGCACAGGTGGAAGGTTGCCTTTTCTGCAGCATCTCCCTTCCCCCTTTGGATTGCCCTGGGGGGGGGCCTCTGCCTTTGCAGAAATGGGGCAGGGCGAGTGAGCAGCTACTGGGGGACCGGTTTGGGGGTGTGGCCAGCCACCGGTCGCTACCGGTTTGGTGAACCACGCCATATATCCGCTACAGTTTGCCCGAACCGGTCCGAACCAGTAGCATTTCACCCCTGCCCACAGATACAGATGCCACCTAGTCTCCTGTGGTACATCAACTTCCTCTTAATAAAAGTGTGCACGTTCAACTTTTCCACCCCTTCATTGAATTCACTATGTAAAAAATAAAACCTGGTTCTGCTCCCAGGGCAGGGGGTCAATGTCTTTGTAGGTACCCTGTTGTTTTTTTATTGTGTATCATTGTTTCTGGTTTTGCCTGTCTCATTTTATGTTTTTAACTGTGTATTTGATTTTGTAAGCTGCCTAGAATCTTACTGCAATGGACAGTAATAACAAATTTAATAAGATAACTAAATATAAACACAACTTAAATACAAGATATATGAAATGGCTCATTTTGTAATACTCTAAAAGGAGATAAACTTGGAAACTTGATGTTTATTGTTGTTTTTCTTATTTAGTATCCTAGTGCTTCTCCTTAAAGAGATATTCTACTCTGAAACTTGAAACATAATAGCAATCACGACTCCAATACTCTAAGTACTTTCACACAGAAAAGCAAGAAAGATAAAACAAAACTACAAAGTATGATTGTTTTACATTACCTTTTATATTACATTAATACTGGTGGTTCTCGGGAGTTATTTTAACATTCCCCAATACACCAAGCAGTAGGAAGCTGTATCCTTTACACAGTATATTCTGTCTCCAACATAGGGGAGCACATTGTCATTACTAATCAAAAACTAATTAACACTACTGCTTTGCAAACCTAAATTGAAGATTTGTGCAGAATCAGCTACGTATAAAATGCAAGAGTTCCAGTTGTAACTAAATATTCAGATTGCAACATTTCTCCCTCACAATTAGTGCCCATATCCATCTAAAGTTAAATAGTATTCATTCCTCAAACTATTGCTTTTTATACTCACTTTTTATTCTACCTACACAGGTTGATCTTTGGTAGCTACAAAATTCCATCTCCACTCTGTTTTGCACTCCATTTTGTCCTGCAGCCAAAAAAGAAAAAAAAAGTGGAATCTTCTTGGCTCTTTTCCATGTAGCTTCTGCTGTGCACCTGTACTCCGTGACAGGTGAAAGTGTCCCCCCACCAAAGTAGTTGCAAATAACATAAGAGGACTTGAACCTGTCGTTACACTGTAGCCTAAATTGGTAGCAATGTTGTTGTTGCTTCTTGTGCCACTGGAGGTCAGGGGTCACAAAGTAGGTGCTTTGTATTATACAGTAATGGAGAAGTAAGAGTACCTTTTCCTGGCTCCTATGGTTTTGCTGGTACTTCTTTATGGGAGCAGGATATGGGTATGGTTGCTGGCACAATTCTGGATATGTAGGTTTTACTGCAGTTTCTCCTGGAATAGTAAAAATATGACTACCATTTTCCAAAAAATGTAACATCTCTTCCCCACTTGAGACATGGCATACATTTCAATAGTATAAGGCTAGTGCCAACCTATTTTCTTCTCCTTCAATCCCAACATCATTGGCATACAGGACTGCTATTGGAAAAATAAACCAAAGTAGTGCCAACTATGCCACAGGCCTAAAGGAGATGAAACAGGCCGCAGGGCCACCAGCCTGCAAAAACATTCCTGTCAATAAAAAATCGGAACTAGTATGTTTTGAAATAAAGATCATTTTATATTCTCCCTCGAAGGAGGTTTTCAAGCTAAATTACACAGTACAATAAAAAGAGGAATAGTTATAAATGTACAAAAAGTAAATAGGTGATATGATTATAAGAAAAAAGAACAGTATATAAGATTAAGGAGCCTCTGTTCAAGTGACAAAAGTAGTACCACATAAACCACTTTGATGAGAGATTTTAAAAATCCAGTGCCCTGCTGAAAAATAAAAGGCTTAGTTAAACAAGTAGAATCCCACAGAATTAGAAATCTGTTCAGGTTTTTAGTTTATATGCTGCTTTACATAATTAGCTCTATCCAATTCACAATCAACATAAATGTATGTTATACAGGGGAAAAAAGGAGTTCCAAAACCTAAAATATAAAATAGCCTTAAAGTGACTACCTTTAAACAGACAGGTTTTTCATCTACATTTTGCAGCATCCTTCCAACCACGTCTGCAATTAATGTTTTCAGACTCAGAAATACGGTTTTAGTGATGTCTTTTTAAAGAGATTTAGTGGTATCTGCCACATCACCTTAATGTATCTTCATTGTATGCATATCCTTGTTTTTCAAGTTCCTTTTTTTAAGAAAAAAGGTCAGCATCTCCATCCCCTCAATTTAGTGCTCCCTAGTTATGACAAACTTTCTGAATTTGCAGCCTAGATCAGTGCATGGATAACTTGGATCAGAATATAGTTGATCCATCACTTGGAAAGCTTGCTTAGGGCACTTGGTACCATGAAAGGCATATGTATCTCCAGGAATCAACTGGATCTAGAAGCACACTAAAGCAAAGAGAAGGGGAAGTTACCAACTTTGCAGATGATACTAAACTGGCAGCAATAGCCAGCACCCTAGATGATAGACTCAAGATCCACATGGATATTGACAGACTTGAACACTGGACCCTATCTAACAAAATGAAATTCAATGTAGAGAAAAGTAAAGTCTTACACCTGGGCAAGGAAAACAAAAGTACACATATAGACTGGGTGAAACCAGGCTTAATAGCAGTAACTGTGAGAGGGATCTTTGAGTCTTAGTGGACAACCAGATAAATATGAATCAGCAGTGTGTAGCAGCAGCCAAAAAAGCCAATGCAATCCGAAACAGCATTAACAGAGGGATGCAATCAAGATCAAGTGAGGTACCAATACCACTAAAGCCTTAGTAAGACAACACCTAGAATACTGCATCCAGTTTTGGTCACCACACTATAAAAAAGATGTTGAGACTAGAAAAAGTGCAGAGAAGAGCAACCAGGATGATAGGGGACTGGAGACTAAAACATGAAGAACGTTTACAGGAACTGGGCATGGCTAATCTAGTGAAGAGAAGGACCAGGGGAGACATGATAGCAGTATTCCAATATTTTGAGGGGCTGCTACAGAGAGGAAAGGGTCAAGCTATTTTCTAAGTTACCTGAAGGCCAGACAAGGAATAATGGATGGAAACTGACCAAGGAGAGATTCAACCTAAGGAGAGATTCAAAAAGGAGAAATTTTCTGACAGAACAATCAACCAATGGAACAGCTTGCCTTCTGAAGTTGTGGAAGCTTCATCACTGGAGCTTTCAAGAAGAGATTGGACTGCCGTTTGTCAGAAATGGTGTAGGGTCTCCTGCTTGGGCGGGGGGGGGGGGGGGGTTGGACTAGATGACCTACAAGGTACCTTCCAACTCTGTTAATCTAAATGGGAGGGTTTCTCTATTTTAAAGGCCTGTTTAAATATTTTTTATTGGTTTTCTCCATTCCAGTAGGTTTAGGATTAAATATGTGTGGTATGTTTAGCCATGCATGGGAAAAGCAACACAAAAAAGTTGGAGGGGTTAGGATTCATTTTGTGATAGATTTCAGGAGGAAACTATCAATAACAAGTAAACTCTCCTCCCCAACTATGGCTGAAAGAGAACTACAATGAGAATGATTTCAGGTAGGCCTCTTGGTAGCAGCACCCAATAGTAATCTCTGGAAGCAAGGAATGGTAGTGAAATAAGCAAAACGACACCCCTTTCCTCCCTTAGCCTTTGCTTTCTTTAACTTATCCCGCATTATTATTTTAACTGTTGCAGAATAAGGCATCAGATGTTAACATCTGAGGGACTAGTGGGTAGCACCTTGATGCAATTTTTGTTATGCTCGGAGACCATCTTGTTTACTCTGATAAATGGCCTATGTTGAAACTAAATGAGACAGCTGTTTTTCTTGAACTTTTTACTGAGGTTTATATCATAAGCTTTGTTGCTGTTCTGGTTTGACTGTCCAAGTTGGGAAATAAGCATCACATTGTGAGGGTTATACTATCTGGATGTCCACTTCAAGAAGATGGTGCTGGATGGTCCACTTCTAATTGTTGGATGAGGTTACCAGTTATTTTTGAAATGGTGGAAAGCCCTGAACTGATGCTTGAGCTCAGTAAACTGAAATGGAATTTAGAAAAAACAAGTGTTTGGTGGCTTCTATATGTAGGTTGGTTTTTTGGGATGAGGTTATGTTCTATTCCATCTAAGTCATTTATGAAGATATTGAAGAGTACTGGGCCTAAGACGGAACCTTGTGGTACCCCACTGGTTACTTCCCTCCATGTAGACGTAGACCCATTAAGGACTACTCGTTGGATACGGTTTGTCAGCCAGTTACGAATCCATCTGGTGATGATGCTATTTATCCCACTTTTTTCTAGCTTACCAAGAAGTAGGTTGTGGTCTACTTTGTCGAATGCCTTCCTGAAGTCTAAGTATATTATGTCCACAGTATTTCACTGGTGTACTAATTTAATCACTATGTTGAAGAATTAAATAAGATTGGTTTGGCATGATCTGTTTTTAACAAACCCATGCTGACTGCTAGTTATTACTTTACTCATTTCTAAATGTTGGCAGATCCTTTATTATCTTTTCCAGGATCTTCCCGGGTATTGATGTTAGGCTGATAGGTCTATAGTTTCCTGGGTCTGCTTTTTTTCCCCTTTTTTGAAGATGGGAACCACATCAACTCTTTTCCAATCCTCTGGTAGTTCCCCGGTGCTCCAGGATTTTTGGAAGATGTGATACAGTGGTTCTGAGATGACATCTGCCAGCTCCTTTAGAATTCTGGGATGTAATCAATCAGATCCTGGTGATTTGTATTCGTCAAGATCAGACAAGTGTTCTCTTACTATTTTTTTTTTTTTTGCTTATTTTAACTTTTATTTCTAGTCTGTCTTTTGCAGTTGTTTTTGGTAAGTTGGGCTAGTTTCTTTTTGTGTGAAGACCGATGCAAAGAATGAGTTAAGCAGCTCTGCTTTTTCTTTGTTGCCTGTTACTTCCTTGCCGTCTTCTCTCTTTAGTGGACCAACTGCTTTTTTGATTTTTTTCTTGTTATTTATATGTTGGAAGAAACTTTTTAAATTATCTTTGACTTTTGCTGCAAGTCTTTGTTCTCTCTTACATTAAGTGCCACAAATCAAACCTTTATTGCCAATCCACATGTACAATGAAATTGAATAAACTTCAATGGTTCAGCAACTAGGTGTTACAGTAAACTATACCTTTCTAGAACTCTTGCTATCCTTCAATAACAGACAAGATTAAATGTTGGATTATTTGAAGTTACAATAAGTATGATTAATACAAATGAGCATATTTCAACAAGTGAGTACCTTATTCTCAGACCAAATTATTGAATTTGAATTAGTGAATGGCACTCTGGAAATACTATAGAGGGAGGGGAGTGCTACGATTTTACATAGTTGTTCCAATACAATGCACATGGTCTTTCTTGTATTTAGTCTTTCACTTGAATCTTCCACCACTTACATTCCAGCTTACTATTCCCTTATTTTACCAGTTATTTCTCATAAAAATTTACTTTGGTCATTTAACAATCCTATAAATTAAGCATTCAATTGTGTTTTCATCACAATGACTACAAGTTCTCCAAGAATTCAATTGGTGGGCTTATTTTGGAATTTTTGAAATAGGTTGGTGGTGGTCTTACAATCTAGTTTCCTGGAATAGTTTATTTCTCATCATGATGCCCTAAGAAACAATAAGAAAACACTGATTTACCAAAAAGTCACCCTCTAGCTTTTGGGAAAGATGAGGGTACTTGAAATAAGGCACTGGGGTACAGCACCTTCCATTTTTAATTGCTAACTTTGTATATTGGGCCCACAACCATTCTTCAAAATGAAGATTGTACAGGAGGATACTGCTTTGCTTTGCAGCAAGCTAGGCTCCCCCTTTTAACACTTAAGTCATTTTAAAATCTTAGAAGTCAGGGCAAGTAATTTGTCACTGAATGAGAAAGGTCTCTGCAGGCACAATGGCACCTTCAGACATCTTATGAAGCACTAGACAAACCACACAGAAACTCCTCAGGGACTCACAGAACTCCCTCCAATTCCATTTCCTGCTGCAGTTAAAATGTTTTTAATAAGCAAGTCCTGCAGAAAAGAAATAGTTAGCAGTCTAAATCTCATCACGACTTTGGGAAAGGGTGGGGGGGAGCTTCTCCACAATAGCATTCAGACCTTGAATCGATTCAGATTGTCCATGCTCAAAATGATCTTGAACTGTGATGTCACATTGAGATACCATAAGGAAGAAAATCTTATTTATCGCGAACGTTTAAAAGAATCAGATCAGCGTTTGCTTAGCGTTATTTTTTCCCCTCCTCACTTAGTTTGCTGGAGAACTTGACAGCCTTGCATACTTTGTGGTCACCGTTTAAGTTGCAT